TACGTTACGTTACGTACGTTACGTAACGTACGTACGTTACGTAACGTAACGTTACGTAACGTAACGTTAACGTTAACGTTACTTACGTACTACTACTCTCTCTCTCTCTCTCTCTCTCTCTCTCTCTCTCTCTCTCTCTCTCTCTCTCTCTCTCTCATACATACACACCCCATCCCCAGTCACATCTCTCTTCTCTAATTCTATGGCTCCCGCTCTCTCTCTCTCTCTATCCACTCCAATCGCTCTTCTCTAATACCATAGCTCTCCCACACTCTCTCTATGTCCACTCCAATCATCCTGCTTCAAGGGAGGAGGGAGAGAGTTTTCTTGTAAGGATTCTACTCGCACAACTTCTGTGAAGTTTTGAGAGAGAGAAAGAGAGAGGGAGAGGTGGTGGATTGCTAAAAAGTATTTAGAGAGGGGTGAAGGGCCTTTTCCAAAATTTTAAGTTACACTAAGGGTAAGATACTTTACATTTTTTTTCTTTTTTTTTTTTGAGAGAGAAAGAGGTGGTTGAGTGCTAAAAATATTCAAAGAGGAGTGAAGGGCCTTTCCAAAGTTTTTAAGTTAAACTACAGGTAAGATACTTTAAACTAATCTTTGACAAGTTAAAAAAACTAGCTTTTTGATATTTCCAGCACGTGGATGGCCGACATGAGTGATCCCACAAATGGACCATAATCCCATTATTCAAAAGTAGTACTCCCGTAAATAAGAAGAATAAAATGAACGTAAACAAGTCATTCACAAACACCCTCGAAACCTACAGCAGTTAATTCTAAGCAGTGTTCTAAGCCTTGGACTTGGCTTGAAACTGCAAAGGTCCTAGTTCCAAGTCAGCAAGTCAGACTCGTCCAAGTCTGACTCGGCTAAACCAAGTATTTGGAAAGTATCACAAAACCTTGGGAACCAGTAAGACTTGCCAGATCCCAAGAGGTTAAGATCATGTTTTGTCAGAATAAAAAAGATTGAGGCTCGAATTTCATTGGTAAGACATACCTTAGTTTTCCCATGTATGCACTGCTCCCTTGGGAGAAGTCATCTGTCGTAAGAGAAATGATGTATTCAGTATGAGCACGATGCCTAAATCTACGAGCTGCCAAGAGGAACTTCCCTTTATCCACAAATGCTGCAAAAGAAACATTAGTTAGAATAAAAAAAAATCATTTCCGAGAAGGAAAAACTCTCATTGAGCCATCTCTACACTCCATTCTATGAGCTCTATACCTAAAAATGTTATATACCCTTGTCTTATTTTGACTTGTAAATGGAATTTCCAAGATGTTGTAGGGATGTGGTTTGACTTCGACACAAACTGGGTTTGACTTTTGTTTATTTTTCCAAAATGATCTTCACAAAAACTTGAAACCTCGCATGAGTTTTCCCGAGTTGACAGTTGAACTAAGCAAATCAACTAGGTTGGAAGGGACTGATTCACCCATGGAGTTTGAGTTTTTAACATTAAATGAAATTATCCAGAACCAGTAAAAACTTAAAGAGACAGAGATTAGATGTGTTACAAAATTCACATATGTAACTAAAAGAAATTTTGCTAAGCAATCAATTCATAAAAAAAAAAAATGTTAAGCAATCAAATACTAAAGATTTTCATTTTATGCAAGCATCAAATGAGTAGAGATGCAGTACACGTTAAACTTACGCCACAAATAAAAGCATAACAAAAAAATCAAGAGGTAATCTTCCCTTGTGTCAACTCGCTTTTCTTCATGCACCTCAAAGAGCTACAGAAAGAGAATTTATTGAGCTAGGCCCACTATCAAGCCTAAACTAGAGGGACTTTTTTTCCCTTGCATAAATATTGAAAGCCATTGAACATGATTAGGCAGTTGTTTTTGAGGGAAGTTGTCGATTTTGTGGCATACAAGTAACCTCATCGGAGAATTTGCATGTGGGACACAGAAGATTAAAAGCAAGAACAAAACGTTCACAAATAATAATTTTCCATTGATTAATGTCTTGTGATTTTAGTTAACATTTCTTCAAAAAACAAATATATGTCTTGTGATTTTGGCTCACCAGTAACAGTTTTCTATTGCCTAGTATCTACTAGGTTTTTCGCCTCGTTACATGGTGCACTCCCACCAAACATGACATTTCTCCAAGCAACCATTTCCTTCCTTGTATTAAGACTTGGGCTTGATTGCTTAATTTATGCATTCCTTAATTAAATAATAAAATCAAATGGAACAGATTGTCAAGATAACTTGGGCTTGATTGCTTAATTTATGCATTCCTTATGTATTAACCCTTTATGCATTCCTCCGGCCTAGTTGATTTTTTTTCCCTTAATGATCAGTTGGAATAGCCTAGGTTTTAATTTCAAGATAACTTATTTACTAATGAGCGTATTATATGCGACCGCAGGAGCAAAAAATCCATTTACGTCCTCGGACAAATGGTCTACAGGAGGATTTTCTTGATCTGAGATTTTGGGATCAGCATTAGAATCACCAGACGAGTATTTTCAAGAAAAGAATAAGTAAATGACAAGATTTTGAATACCTACACACCTATAAATGTCCGACCAAAATGAGACAGTCTATTTGCATCCTAGAGCATGAACTTTTTTATGCCAATCGAGGGCATATTCAATTTGTTGTTTTCTATTTTTAGGTTTGCTAGGTTGAGTAGGTCACATCCCTAAAAGTTGGTGTCCTAAAAATACTCATGTCTAGGATTTTTTCCCCCCCAAGAGAACAAATGGGTCTTTGGAATACATAAGCTTTTTAGTTTACCAAACTAATATATACGAAAAAACTTCAAACTCTCAAAGTGGATAATTATACAAGTATGTATGGTCTCAAACAAACATGTGCATAATATGCACATATATTGGTCTAGGGCTGCCAACCAGGCCAGGCCGAGTTCGACCATTGGGCTCAGACAGGGCTTGGCTCTAACGACTTCAATCTTGGACTGTGTCCGAGCCTAGCATGGAAGTTTGAGCTGAGCCTAGGGTAACCCTTAGCCTGGCATTATCCCGGCTGGTTGGCAGCCCTTTGTGGTCAGTGCTACCAATTGGAACAGGCAGAACACAAACTTCAGGCAGGGACAAGGCCAATGTGGTTGAGCCATGGCCTGTGGTCTCAAGCTAGAACTTCGCTAGACCAGGCATACCCCAAGTCAAATCAAGCTGGTCCAAACGAACCCTAGCCGGCCCATTGGCAGCCCTATAGAGGTTATAGAAGCATACCTGTGTATATCGTGCAATGGCCATTTACCAAGGAATACCAACCCCAAACTAACTAGGTTCTTTTGCTTCTTTGTTCAGAATCCCTTATAACTAAAATGACTGATAGTGTTCACTAATAAATAGTAACATGCATCCATGGTTCAAATGGCATTTTGCCCAACATGTCCAACAAACAAACCATGACAGCTAATAAATCATAAACTATAGTAGCTTGACGATATTGACTTAACTTGTAGGTAGTAGCATTGGCTTACATTGGGTTGGCCCCAGGTACAAGTAAAATGTGGAGGTCTGCTTGTCCCTCTTAATCAAACACTGCAGAGGATGGTCTCGAGGCCCTGGCTGCACAGAGAACAAAATCAAACCATGAATTTAAAAATAATAAGAAAGTATCTATTGTTCAAAACAATAAGTAAAACACCATCTACCAAAAAGAGCAAATCTAGTTACAAGTGCTCAAAAATAAGAACTTGAGGCAGCAGTATGACTTCAGCTAACTTGACACAGATAGCAACAGAAGCAATCTACTGGTTAGGATTTCTGGTAAAGAATTAACAATGTTAATGTTAGCCACCCACAAGCTGTCCAAAAATCTAAGATTAATTCAATCACATATATGTTCTTATACGCAATGCTTTATTGGTTTTTGTTTCTAAGTATACGATTCTAGATATAGTTGATAACATAATGTAAGATAGCATATTGACTACTAATAGGTAGGGAAGCCACAAATGAGGACCCCTAAAAAATTATTTCAAATGAGTTCCATATGCATAAACCAACTATAATATAGATTGCAGAGAAAAAAGGAAGCATATGGTGTGCTATGAAGTGAACCATTTTCCATAACGGGAGTAGATCCTCATCTTATCAAATTGTCATCTATAAAGGAAAGTTAGATTGGATGATTTGAATCATCTCAATCACCGATTTTGGCATCTTAGAACCTTTTCGCATCAAGATTTAGGCATCTATAACCAACTATAACATTGAAACCTTTGACACTAAACCACGTGTCCTTTCAAAAGGCATACGAAAAAACAAACAACAAATAGTGGAAGACCTACTGACCGAGTGCAAGCCAGGCTAACTCAACTTCGTGAAATATCATCCTGCATTGAGGTTAAGTTTGGAATTCATATTTTGCCTCTACAAAATTTGTTTAGGCTAATCCTTAGCGGTACAAAGGTCACTCAAACACCTAAACTAATTGTATGCCGAAATATGAGACTCTAGACTTGCCAAAAGAACCACCAACAAAATAATTCAACTTCTATTGAAACCAAAAAACATGGACTCAATTCCTTCCATACTTAAAAGATTAAATCACTATTCAAAAAATAAATGTGTAAAAGAGAACATCAGATACTGATTCAATTTCAACCCACCAGGTGAAAATCTGTTTCAAACTCAAAAAAAAAAAAAAACAGGTATTATGGAAAATGTGTCAAGAAAATATCATCAAAGAGTGGACCATAGATGCACATTTAAAGTTTTTCAGTATTATGGGAGCAGAATCATTATGCCAAGCTGTAGAAAATGATATAAAAGACACAGAAGCACATACCCAAACCACTATCCAACAGATCCTCAGTAATCTGCAGAACCTCTAAGTAAGATGGGTCCAATAGGACCTCCATTTACTACTCATATTGCACTTCCAAAATCTTGCTCTAAAACTCGAGAAAGCATATTCATAGAGTAGTGAAGGCAACAAGACATGCAACACATTTTACTCATCCCAAGCAAAAGACTACAGCCAAAAGATAATATATAAATTCCCAAACAAAGGCATGCAGCCTTCCAAGAGAACTCCACTTCAAAACAAAACAATATCAACTTCGTTCACATTTTTCTGAGACTGAGACTGAACACTCTTCCACTATTACGTCTACCACATAGAATAAAATATAAAAACAAAGCATATAATCCAGTAATCCAAACATGGAACACGAAGTGCTGAAAGCAATTCAAAAATTGTATCAGAATCTGCAAAAATTTCAGGCAATATAGAACAACCAACCACAAAGAACCACATTAATTGAAAAAGAAAAGGCAACAATCATTCTCCTAACCCTGTATCAGATCATACCAATGCTTATTTGATCTGAGATCAACTCTTTCAAAGAACCAAAGGCATAAACCCTAAGCACCAGATCCAACCAAAGAAAAGAAGAATTCTTTTCCAGAGGTTAAAATATCAGAACTATCAAAATAAAAAATTATTTAAAAAGAAGCAAACAAATGGCAATAGTTGAGCTCAGAAATGAAGAAAGGGAAAATCGCCAGATATTTTTCCTCTCCAATTTTTTAGCTAATTTCACCTGCTTTAGAGAGAAAGGGAAGGTGATCTGTCCGCCTTGCAATGGCGATTTGACTAATCCCCTCGTGATTTCCCTCCATCTCTGGCAGACAGACGCACAGGCCACTACATTCTTACGCGGAGGCCAAGCTCCATAGCTCGACTCCACCCTCTGTATAATATCAACCAAAATCTCGGGAAACATGCTTGACCACCCACTCTCTTCCCCTCCATTTTCCCCATTTTCTTCATCATCCTCTTCTTCTCTCTCTACTTCTACTCTCGTCTTTTGCTCCGCAAAAGAAATTGCAGAGAGCCTCAAGCTCAAGCCTTTCCTGGACATGGAGCCTCTCTTGACCAGGGCTCGCAAAGACATGGCCACGCACCTGGCACTAGAAACAAAGAAATTGGGTTCTGGTTTTTTTACATAGCGCAAAGCGGGAGCAAAAAGGGAGAGAGACTTGTTTTTGGGTCTGTGGTTTTATCCGGAGAGAAATTAGGGTCATAAGGGGGGCGACTGGCCTCCGGAGAGAAATTAGGGTCATAACGGGGGTGACTGGCCTCGTGACTCCCTTGTTGCCTTGGATTGACCCAGTAACGTGGACAGAAGGCATGTGGACTTTAAATTTTTTTTTTTTTTCTGTTTTTTCTTTTTTCTCTTTAAATTTTTTCTTGTTTTTTCTATGTTTTCATTTATCTTTTGAGGGAGTTCTCTCATTATTATTTTTCGGCACTCTGAATTGGACCGTTTACTCTCTTTTTTTTCTTTTTTTCTTTTTTTTTGTGAGTAAATCATTGTAGATAGATCAGTGGAAAATACAGGCTCAATTTATTTTTAAAAATAGTTAGTGATTTTCAAATACGTTGGTGATGATGAAAACCTCTCAGTAATTGAACCTGTTGGTGCTACCACAATAACCTCAACTCAATTCCCAATTGAAACCGTTGACTCGCCAAAAGTTAGAAGCCTTTCTTGAAATTTACAAGAATTCCTCGAAAAACAAATTCAAATAAGTTTTTCCTAGTTGTAAAAATCTTTTACAAAATACAAAAAGCTTTGGATGGAATTCCAAATCGCTTGGTCACCAAGTCAAACAATCTCAAAAAATGTTATGGGTCAAGAGTCAACATAACACAAAATTGTGCATACATGTTTTGCCATTTGTAAAGGTTCTATTTTAGGGTGCCGTTGGCATACGGATGCATCCGTATTTGTAGAGGTAAGATGCCCCTTCAAATTTTATCATGGTATATAATTTTGATGTAAAATGTCTTGGGATTATCTCAAAATCTATTTTTATATCTAATTATAAAATTTTAAATTTCAAAAATGGTTAAAATCAAGTAGAGCTATTAACATACAAAAATCTTGAAAATGGACGGTGTAGATAATATGTTGTAAAATGCACTATTTCTGAGACTTAAAATCTTTTTATTTTTCATGGTCATACATCTCAATGTCCAGATGATCAATCATAGGGTTTTTCAACATTAAAACTACCTTTCCGATAGATTTTTTGAGGTGCATATGTAGTTCTACATTATAAAGTTGCATCCTTATATAAACTATTTCCTTTATTTTATTTCATTTTTTTGGATAATTCAGTGTGGCCCTTGCTTGTTTTTCCAAATGGTTTAGGAGTTAGTGTTTTTTTTAAGGTGTTAATGGAGTTGTCTCAATGGGAATGAAAACCACAACGTGGTGATTAAAGTAGGGGGTGCTACCACCACGACCCAGCCCTACAGATATTATCAACCGCATTAGCATATCGTGCTTGCTTAAAACAAGAAAGATTATTTAGGAGATTTTAAGGCTAGTAATTGTATGGGAGATTTGGCTAGAAAGGAATAGAAGAATCTTTGATGGAGTTTGTTCGAATGAGAACAATATCAAAAACGAAACTTTACATACTTATGGTGCTAGTTTGTTATTACTAAGGTGGGAGAGGGCATTTCGAAAGTGGATGTCATTCTCAATTTAAAAAATATTATCACTCAATCTCTTATGAAGCTCAAGGCCAAAGGGAGATGGATACCACTAGTATGGATGATTTAAGCTTAATTTTGATGGGTATTTTTTAGAAGCCCCGTTATAGCTGGTATTGGAGGAGTGGCTAAGGATTGTGATGGAGATATCATCTTTTGTTATGTTGACCCTTGCTGTTATTCTTCATCAAATAAGGCTTAATTGTGTGCTCTCGGACAAGGTTTGAGGTTATTTAAACAAAAACATATCAGGAGCTTTTGTACGGTGGAAGGGATTTTCTTAATGTCATTAATTGGTACAAGGAGCTGGGGAGAACATCATAGAGTTTGAGGATGGTTTGACCTCAAATGATGGATTTATGACATAATTTGAAGGCTTCTTTTAACCAAGCTTATAGAGAAACTAATGATAGAGCATATAGTTTGGCTAAAAGGGGGTTATCTTGTATTGAACATATTGTCTCTGAGGAATCGCTCTTATAACTTTGTGTAACGGCTTGATTTATCAATAAAAAAAGTAAATTTTGTTAAAAAAAAAAATGTTTTTCATTTGTAAAACTAGTTACATGGGCAACTCGAATTGAATAGTAGTACTTCTTAGAGCTGACAATAAGTCATGGGCGAGTCGAGATGAATTGTGGAGTTCTCATTGTCGAGCTCAAGTATTTATTCACTACTCCCAAGCCTATTTACAATGTGTTCCATTTATGAGGTGAGGTTTTTTATAAAGAATTCACTTTTTCTTTTTGAAAATTATATGAGACATCCACTTCTTTTTTGTTTTTTTTTTTAATATTATGCGAGGCATCCACTTCATATAATCAAAGTAAGGCGCACCTCCAAATTCTACTAAAATATACAGTTCTGGTACTGAAACCTTATGATTATATGAAATCTATTCTCATTTGTAATTATAAAATATAATGTTCCAAAAATGGTATAGGTCAAACAAATCTCTTAACACTTGAAAATCTTGAAAATATATATTATAGAAAATGTATTACGAAATGCATTGATTTTTAGACTTGAAATCTTTTTTTTGGCAAAGCTATATATCTTGAGGTTCAGATGATTAGTTGGAGGCTTTTCCAACATTGAAACAACCTTTTTAGGTAAATTTTTAACATGCTCATTGCTTCTATAGCATAATTTTGACAATTGTATAAACTTGTCCCTTCATTTATTAGGGGCTTAACGAACTTCCCTCAGGCACCGTTTGGGTACGTAGACATCTATTACGTGACAATAGATTACAAGGAAATATAACATTTACACTTTAATAATAACGAAATGGAAAGACATTACCGGAGATTACCAAAGATTTCTCCAAAAGTCATGAAATTCATTATGCGCGCGCTTGTGTATCTCTCTGCCCTATCCCCACTTAAAAAAACATTTCTCTCTCTCAGGTATATGTTGTATTGTATAATTATTAAGGTACGTAGAAAGTGAAAGTAGGGGATATAAAAAGAGGAATCTAAATTGATTTAACAGGTGTACGAGGACAATTTTCTACTTCTACATCCCTCTATCCCCAATTTGGGTTGTATCCTCATCTGACTCTCATATAAAAACAAAAAATTTTAATAATTGGTAAGTGAAATTAAAGGAAATCTAAATTAATTTGAACAGTTGTAGAACTTAATGAGGGATAATTTTCTACTGCAATCATAATAAAAAAATTTCTATATCCCTCTATCCCCAATTTGGGTTGTAACTCGCCATCAGCTTTCGTGTAAAAACAAAAATAATAAAAATAATCATTGGTAATCAATGAGAAATTACACAACACAATCATAATAAAAAATTTCACACAACATTTTCCTCATAAGAGATTAGTAAAAACTCAATTGAAATAAGATACCTCTTTAGTCTCATCCAATGCTTCAAAAGTTTCTACTGCAATTGCCAAACTTCTAGTTTACTAATCAAACATCTTCCCATTCTTTAATTTGTACCATAAAGATTTTGATTTTGGTATCATAAATTTATTTCTTATTTAGAATTATATATAGAGTGACATTTGAAAGACTTCTATAAAAAATAAATAAAAATAAGGCTTATGACAATAAAATCATGTTATTTCAATCGTATTATTTCAATGACTTATCATGTTGAAACCAAAGTCTAATCATGTTAGCTAAACATAGCCATATTTTTCATATTTGGATGGTAATGCATTTCTCATATTTCTTTCAGACATAGCCAAACAATGTCTTTCCCAAGTTGCATCTAAATACTAGCCAAACAGTGACAATCCATTTGCAAGTAATGTATTACGCCCGTAATATATTTCACAGACAATATATTTCCAGATATCCAAACCGCCTTTCAATGATGTCATGTTTTTCAAGTCAAACTCGTTTGAATTGAATGTAGGACTTCCTTTCTTTCATATTATTCTCCATGTTGAGTGCGCATAGCATGCTCCATTGGGAGCATACTATACAAATGTTTTCTCAAGCAAAATAGTAACTAATGAGAATTTTTTAATCTTAAAATTTGGAATTCATTTAAGTATCACCAAAATGATTATTTTTAATAAATATTGGAATATAAGTTTCTGAACATGTAGATATTGCCTTTGAAAAGTGGACAATTCTTGATTAGTCTTGGGACATTAATTTTTTAAGGTACATAGAGAATCCTATTATTTTTTTCTTTATTTAAGGTAGGTTATTAGGTTCTAGAGGCTGCATCCCCAAATTTTAGGATTTGAAAAATATTCCTAACATAAGTTTTGCCTAAGGGAGCAAATGCATAGTATGCTCCTATGTCAGTAGCAAAACATTTCACTTGTTTTGATCTCTATAATGGGTGTTTTTCCCATTATATTAAGTCTTTTTTTTAAAAGATTTTAATTTTAGAAATTTCAACGCAAATGTCCCATATAGTTTTTAGAATTTATCAATAGCCATTGAATTAGGCCTGAAGTCATCTCTAATAACTAGGGATTGCTTTGAGCCATGTAGAGAATAAGATTCACACTTTGTTAAACAATCAGTCGCACCATTCAAACTCCCTTAACTCTGACAACCTAGAGGTTCAGGGACACGCCAACCAAGAACTACAAAAATCTAGGTTTAAGACTCCTAGCCACCATAGTAGTATTAGAGGAAACCTCCGTCCTCAACAAAATGCCATAACGGGAATACATCAAGGTGAAACCCAGTCCCAAGACAACCCCATAGTACAGGCCCTTCTACAAGCCTTAGCTAGTCAGGGGTATAGCATAAAACCTGCAACACAAGTCAGACTCGGGTCTAACCTAGGGATTTAGGTCGGCTGGCATATTGTGCAATGCTGTAGCGAGTCAGCAGTCGTTGTTTGTAGACACTATTTTAAAACCGGCAAAACCTATGATTTTCCTAACCTTAGACAACCCTTAGGACCATATTATTCCATAAAATCCCTGAACCATAGAACACCGTAGTCTATGGTCTCATCCTGTGAGATTGATTTTGGAAATAATTAAGCAAAAATAGCAAAATATCTTATTTCGACATGATATTTGAAAGATGATCACTCAAAAGAGAGTCAAACAGCACGGAAGTGGAAAACTCCAATTTGGGT